GTAAAAAAGCCCTCCACTGAGTACGAGAAAGCGGTTTTGCAGTCTGTGCATTTTATTGTGCCTGCTCCTTGTTTTCATGATCAAGGATGCACTTGATGCCCGTGAGGTTTGTCTTTCCATGTTAATGATCATATATTGTCTTTCATACATAATTGCCTCATAAACTACTACTGTATAAAGTACCACCCCCACCATACACATACACAATTAATGGTACCATCCAGTATATGCTCTTATACACATTTTCTTTTATAATAAGTCAATTATAAAGCATGTGACACAAAGAGTGGTGCAGGAATGAGTCCTAAAACCCGCAAATTAGTTTGCATTTTGCCACTTCTATTTAAATTGTCTCAAAGTCAATGGTGTTTGACGTGCTTGTGGTTGATGGCTGGAATAAGGGATGTCACATTTTGTTCTACAACATAAAATACTTCAGTAATTACCCCACTGAATGTTGGAAGCTTCTATGTGTCTTAAAAACAGCGGTTGCTAACAACTAATCAGATAAGACTACTAAATGTCATCACGGCAAACTAAATTACACCTTTAGCTTAGCGGTGTTGATGAGTAGCTATGTGACTGTGATGCAGTCAGTTTATAGCCCAGTGCTTTTTCTTCTGACTATCGCATTTACAGTTCAAAATGTACAAAATAATGTTATGACATGGTAAGTATCCTGCTTAACAAACTGTTGGTATCATAAATGTGTGTTTGCCGCAGAGCTTATTTCCTTCAATATTCTGCAATCCAATAGAAACATCATGCTTTTTATTGAGGGACCCCATAGCGATGCTAACTTACAGTATGCGTTTGCCTACAAAACTACTTCACCAGTCGTCATTATGTATCAGAATACATTGTACATCTGTTTTTAGATTCCTCCTTTCTTTCTAACTCCTTATCTCAGTCCAGTTCCTCCCTTTTCTCCGCATCTCTCTTTACGATAGTGGTGTGCTATCGAGAGCTTGCTCATTGTGAACAAAATGGTCCCAGGCTTCTCTCTAGGATGGGAGTTTTACAGCCAATAGGCCTTAAAATGGCTTCATTTCCCATCAGACCAAGCCCCCCTGAGGGAGCGTTTAGTGGAGCTAAAGGCCAATCAGGAGAGTCCAGGAGATCAGTAAAGCCTCCGTCTAAAATCAATCCTCAGAGTTCACGAGCTCATGACTGTTGGGCACGGGGGAATCAACTTCCCATCAACAAATCCATTTGAACCAGAGAGAGTCTTTTACAGAAGGTTCAAATGCCTGTCAATATCAATTATTTAAAAAAAGATACATGACTCATAATCCTACATGTGCAAAATATTGGGGACACGTTGTTAAATGCCAGAATCCTGAATTAATTTGCCGTATTAAATGTACTTGGAAACTTAAGGTTTATAAAAAGGAATACTGTACTGTATCTGAAGGTTCCTACCTGTTGCTTAAACTGTTCGTTAAATAATGAATCTTCCATTGGTTGCTGGCTACAACAATGCAATGAACATGTCGGTGGATTGAAAGCAATTGGCTGTGAGGTTGAAATCAAATATCCTCAAAGTACTGTAGCATAGGCTACACTTGTAAAAGAGAAAGGATAATTGATGATCGGAGGTACATTTAAATATTATATACTGGAGGAAATTCTATTACCACCCAAGGCAAACCACAAATTGACTTTTCAAACCCCTTAAATCAGTGTGATATAATGTGTATTTTATATTTCTCACTAAATGGAGGCATTATTTTTATTTGTCGAACAATATTTACTGTATAATGTTGACAGTAGGGTCACAAAAAGTCTGACTACTCAATACTGAATCCATCAGTCACGACTCAGAAGTGATTGTTTGGAGCAGCATGGCACCACATGTTCAATTGGCCTTTAGAAAACCCAAACTGGACTGGAGGCGACCAGCTGAGACTCATCGGATGGGAGTAGTCCTAGGCGCCTCTCCTTCGCATTCGGACTCATTATCAGCAGCTATCACACTTTGCCTTAACCTTGACCCTGTTATTACAATCTCCTCTTGAATCACCATCTTTAAAGTAAGGGGCTTTCAACTGTGACTCAATTAATGAGACACGCAGCTTCACAGAGAGAAGGTGGCTTTTCGGAGGAATTGGTTTTGCACATAACAGGGGCGGTGACGGATGATGATGAAATGAAAAGCAAATCTGGTAGATCAGATATAATCAGTTAAACCCTGTTAGAGATGACTTTGCTGGTGTAATATAAAATAGTTTGTGGGGTTGTAAAGTTTAGATGCCTGTTCCACATGCTTTCAGCTGCCTCTTTTATTTCTATCGAGATGTATTTCTATAGATACAAAAAGCTTGTGTTATTCCTTGAAAGAAAGCCATTCAGCCAAGTGTTCTCATTAAAAACACATTGAATTGTGAAACTGTTTACTTTCACCAAAAACTTAAATCGATTTTTTTGTTTTCTGATTTGCATGAAAGTAGCCTACCTCAGTTGACAATCAAGTTTTTTCAATAGTCCAATAGCTGTAATCACGTATGACACATTGGTACCGGAAAGTTGAAAGCTTTAACAAAAGCAAGCAGAAGGCACTGAAAGGTACTTTTTTGTTGTACAAACAAAACTTGGCATTGTACATAACTCGTATTCTTTAAGTGCACACACTCACCTTTCTAAAAAAGGTGACAAATGGTACACCTTGTGAAAAATGATTCCTCCTGTTTATCTAATGGCTAACTGATGCTTTTATTTGCTTTGTATTTCAAACATCCCCCACAAACGCCCCACACTATTTTCTGACTAACTCTGAGCTGGCAGGCAATGTCGTTTTTGTTAAAAAGGCGTAAGAAAGTGGAGAGTGGGCTGATCACAGAGGATGGATAACAGCGTCACAGGGTGAGAAATAGTAGTCGGGAATTTATTTCTGGGCACTTGCCCAACTGGGCCAAATTCTGACCTCTATTCCAGTCAATATCAGCATTTTTTCTGCCTGCAGGACAATCTACTGTTAAACCCTGCATTAGTTTTCATAGACTCTTATCACTCTAGTAAAGCTTTAAGTTTCCCCACTCCTCTCCTCCCACTGTATTATCTCTCCTCTGAGTGTACTGACACCCAGTCAGCAGGACAGCTAATAGGGTTGTAAGCAGTTAACAGGGCTGTGAAGCTCCTGTCGGGAACATTAACATGGCAACACCACAACAATGAAGTGTTATCAGCTTCGCCATGGCAGCATACAGACAACCTTTCATGAGTGGGTCTGTTGTTGTGTTAGTGGGATTTTTGGAAGAATATTAATTAACAGAATGAAAGGGAATGCTGCTATATGACAAGCATGCTGCTGCTGATGCTTTTCCCCTTTCGTCAGAAACCTATTTGCAAACTGAAAGCTAGCACAGCCTCAATCATTGCAATTCAATATAAATTCTCAAGCTCTCATAGAATTTGAAATGATAATGTTTGAAATGCCATAATTACACTAATACATAACCTGACATGAGGGAAACATCTAGCTGTTTTGTTAGTAAACATCTCTCTGGCATATTTTTAGAGAAGCAGCTCGGGAAGCTTCTCCATGTTGTTCTGTCAGCGGGAGAGGGAAATTGCTTATCACAGTGAGTTGGCAAACAACCGCAAACATGAACCTGCCAGGGACAAATAAACAAGGCACTGGGAAAAACTTTTTGGGTGTAAAATCCCAGCGCTGGTTTGTATTACACCAGTTAAATGAAGTGTCAGGGAAGAGGAGAAAAGGCTCGTGGCTCAGCCAGCAGTCGGTGCCACTCGGTAATTTACAGGTCCACCGGCGAGAGCTTAACCAGCAAGAGTTGTACGAGTACTTACAGCTGTGAAATGAACTCCAGATCGGCTGTATGAGCCGCCGGTGGATGTGTGATGTGTTCCTGTTGACTTTACTGCAGGGTTTTCATCTATGGGGATCTTAATGTGTTGGCTTTTCTATGCAAGTCTTAGGCCATGGCAGATAACTATAAGCCTGAGGTTTTGGCAGCTGGCAGCATTTGTAATGGTAGGTCGGAGAATATTCAACATTTTCATGGCTCAGAACTAATGTCTGAATTTGTTGTTACATGGATACTGCTTTATCCCTTTGTGTATTGTGTGTCAAAGTTTCACTCAGGTCAGGTCTTGTGTTTATAAAACTTCTAAGAGTTACACAGAAAATAGTTAACTTAGGAGCGAGAAAGTTCTCCAGTGTGAGGAATAAAGCTTTTATCAAGAAACTAACTTCTACTCAAAGTGAAGTTTAGGGTCGACATTCAAAGTGTGGGTGATGATTAATCACATGTGCAATCAGAGCAGGAGTAGCCAATCAGAGACAATGATTAACCATGCATCTGCTCTACTTATTATTAAAAACAAATTAAAAGTAATTTACTTTTTCTTTTTTTTAATTTAAATTGTGAACAATCCTTAATATCCTCAGCATTTACATATTGAATGAGGGATGACCATACTAACTTCAGAAGTCACTTTCTATGAGTTTTGTTTTTTAATTCAAAAACAGCTTTTAACCTAAGGTTTATGTTGAATGTTAAGTGTTTAGAGATAGTACAGAGTGCCTTTGCTAGTCTTTGTGTCTGTACGTGACTACGTGTGTGTGACATCATTGTCAGTCAGAGCAGCTGCCACCTTTTCAGAAGAGGTCATAGGTCACTGAGACAGGATGTGCCAAGAGGCCAGACTTTTGAAAGTCTCTGAGGTAGTTGAGTACAAAACTGGAATGAAAGGAATGTATTGTAAATGACAGCGTGTTAAAAGTCAATAATGGAGTCAGACTGAAAGCTGGGTCACAGCAGCCTCTCCTCTCTCCTGTGACAGAAAGGAAATGAGAGTGGAGAGAACAAAGCACTTATGTCAATAAAGTATACGATTTCCTCAAGAAAGAAAGCCAAAGATCTGACACCTTAAATGTAATGCCGAGCAATCCTTTAACCCATCTAGATTGATGCGTGATCCTTTTTGCAGTACCAGGGAATTGTAAATCTCACTCTTTTGTGTGTCTCTCTCTGCAGACGCCAACATGAACATGGCTCCTAACTCCATGGCGATGCCCATGTCAGACCCCAGCATCTGGACACAAGCCATGAGCAGCCTGGGGATGCCTCCGCTAAACATGACGGGACAGCAGCTGATACCAGGTACCACGGAAAATATGTTACATGCTGCCACTGGTCACACAGTGACAGTGGCAGCACACTATAGTACAGTCAATATATTGATGTTGGAATTTTGTTCCCACAGCCAATACAAAATAAACTTCTTAGTTCTATGTTACAAATGTTTGGTTTACAAGATATACTGTAAATAAGGTGTAGCTTTCCCTCACTTAGAGGTAGGAGAAACAGTCCGCCTAAAAGTTATGGTACCCTTTTTAAAGTTGTGGCCCTGAATCCACAGACACGCAGGGAAGAATTATGTGTAGGAGCCGAGGACATATGAGTAACAGCGTTTCCTCCCCCTCCGCTGCCCTCAAAGTGCCCTTGAGCAAGCCTGTGAGCATCAACACTGAGAAGTTGTACTCATCGCAGCAGGCAGCTCCCGATGCGTCAGTGTTTAAATGTCTGGAGCTTCCCCTCCTCTGCTTCTACTCCCCCAGGCAGTTATAATTAAGGGTGTGTGGTTAGCTCATGTCCCTGTTTAAGTAAATGCTTGAAAATGCTAAGTGTGTCCACAGGATCACACTGTGTGTATGTTTTTATACCTGTGTGGAGGCAGTAAGGCATCTTTGCATGACTGTACAAGTGGAGCTCAGGATTTTACAGTGTATGTGTTCACTTCTTTAAGGAGTTCCCTCGTTGTTCCACTCATCACAGAAGAGTTAGTAATCCTCCTCCTGCTCCCACTGGGTTCATTACTTTCATCCTGACTGGCTGAGCACATACATACGTTTTAGTGTAGGTGGCAGATTTATGCAGTTATCATAACAATTGAAAGGAGGAAGAAAGAGATAGCCCGCCTCTGTTCAAAAGTAACACGATCCACCTACTTCTATGTTGGCAAGGTGCAGTGATACCACACTGCTCCCACTAAAGACACATTATTGCATGAACCACATGAATCAAATCAATAAACACTCATATAATAATATATTAATAATAATAATAATATTCAATAATTGTAATAATAACGTTGTTTTTTTGCATGGCTCAAAATCTGAAAGCTAAAAATGATATTCAGTCAAAAGTCCAAACCCTTTTTTGCACACATGCAGCATACGTTCATGATAAAATATAAAAAAATCAAGTAAAAAAAGAACTAAAATAGGAAAAATAATAATACAATTTAAAAAATAACAACAATTTATAATAGATTATGTATTATATCATTTATAATTCAGTCATTCACATGGTGGTTATGTGTATTCCACAGATCAAAGTAATTGTTTAAATCTGTTTAAATATGGATGGTCAACAGAGCAGATGAATCTTCAGTAGACATGAATCATCCCATGTTTGATTCTCACAGTAACTTGGAACTCAAACATGTAAGTCCGACTCTCCCCTCTAAATCACTGCAGCTGTCTAATAATAATAACCTCACAGTATCAGTAGATTTGCATTTTAACTTATATATATATATATATATATGTATTTTGAACAACAAACTAAAGCACACATTTTACTTTTTGCTTAGCTGTGAGGGTCCATAAGGGTCCACGTGATGTAAATTCAGTCATCTGTCCATGTTTACATCAGCTCACAAATAAATGTTTGCGACAGCTCACACAGACATCTTTGCACACGTCTAGCTGCTGCTATTACATTTATGAACGCACCAACTGTGTATAGAACGTCCTGTCATGTGGACACCAAATGTGCAATAAATACAAATCACATCCACGGTTGGTTGTTTGGATTATGTTATTATATGGTTTTAAGAAGCTTTAATAACATATAGATTGAAGACTTATTTTGTTATTAATCATCATGGCTTCATCTTCCTATTAAATGAATGGCTTGTTTTCATTCAGACAAAAAGTGAGTTTTCCATTATGGCTCCTTACTGCTTCATTCAGACACAAAGTTATGCAAAAAAGATCAAACTCATGTGATATTTGGCACCTGGTGCACGAGATGGAGATGGAGAGGGAGAGTTCAAAATGTTATGAAAGCGCTCTCACAGGCTGCATCACTAATGGATTTTTAAAACTTGTTTTGCATTTCACCATTGAAATCTTAATAAATAACCAGGCAAAGCCCAGAGGACCCTCATCCCTGCTTCTCATAACAAAGCCACTGATTCATTTCTTCTCCATAATTTAACGTTATTAGAGAGCGAATTATTGTGCTCGTTTTATAATAGTCAGTAGACAGTGCAAACGCATTAAATGACAGGACTCTAGGTAGGGATTCTTGTTGAATTCCTATTAGCTGTATGTCAATTGTTTGCAGGATTATTTATTTATTCATCTATAAATAGGCATGAATGGTTGGCAATATTATTAATCCGGTTTGTACGAGGGTCTAATTTAACCTCTTTTGCCCAAGTCGTTCTTCAACAGCAACATTTCATAGACGTGAAGAAAAATGAGATATATCTCAAGATATAAAGACTCTAAATGTGCCTACTATCTTAATGCAATACATGACAATTTGAATAACCCTGCAAAGTTTTGGAAACTTGTTAAATCCTCCTCAGGTTCTATCACTCCAAACAGCCTTCCTGATCTCTTAAGGGTAAATCAGAGTGAAATCAAGGGCAAAATGGATATTGCAGACAGCTTTAATAATTATTTTATTTCTGCTGGCTCAATCTTTGATTCTAGCAACTCAGGGATGATTGCTGCAGAAGGAGAGCCAGGTCCTCCGCCACTTGACCCTGATCAACTGTTCACCTTTGCCCCCATCTTGACCTCTCAGGTTCACAAAGCTTTAATGAGCCTAGATGTAAAGAAATCTTCAGGCCCAGACAAGATAGAGCCGTTCTTCTTCAAAGTTGCTGCAGGTCTGATTGCAGAACCCATAACCTCTATTTTGAATCTCAGTCTTTGTGCTGGTGAATTGCCTAGCTCCTGGAAGTCGGCCATGGTTCTCCCCTTGTTAAAGGGCGGAGACCCCTCTGACCTAAATAATTATCGCCCTATTTCCAGACTGTCTGTAATGGCCAAAGTCTTTGAATCTCTTGTAAACGAACAACTGAAAAAGTTTCTAACTGACCATAATATTCTTAACGAGTCTCAGTCAGGCTTCAGATCAGGCCATAGTAACTACTTCATTCAGCGGCTATGCTAGTCTCAAATGACATAATTGAAGCACTAGACAAGAAAAAACACTGTGCAGCATTGTTTGTTGATCTGTCTAAAGCTTTTGATTCTGTGGATCATGCATTGCTACTGCAGAGGCTTGGCTGCATAGGTCTTGGCAAAATGGCTTTGAGCTGGTTTAAAAACTATCTATCTGAAAGAACTCAGTGTGTCTCAGTAGAAGATTATACCTCAGCTGCTCTTACTGTAAACAAAGGTGTTCCACAAGGTTCTATTTTGGCCCCTGTCTTATTCTCCATCTTTATAAATGAACTAGGAAATGGGATAAACCCAGCACGGTTTCATTTATACGCCGATGATACAGTTGTTTACACAGTGGCTTCCTCTTTAACCCAGGCCATAGAGCTTCTACAGGATGCTTTTTAATACACCTGCAACACTCCTTGCTAAGGCTAAGACTGGTCCTTAATGCAAAAAAGACCAAGTACATGACCTTCTCTCGCTCTCGAGCTAATACAGCTGTCCCTCCGATTCTGGACACTGGAAGGGACATGCCTTGACAAAGTAGCATCCTACAAATATCTGGGCATATGGATTGATGAAAAGATGGCCTTTGATGTTCATATTGGGAACCTACTGAGAAAACTTAGACCTAAACTGGGCTTTTTCTTCCGTTTAAAGAAATGTTTCCCGTCTGAAGCCAGGAAGAGAATTGTGGCAGAGTTCCTTTCTGTCTGTATTAGACTATGGCGATGTGATCTATATGCATGCTCCTTCCTCCCTGCTTAAAAAGCTGGATTCTGCGTACCATACTGCTATAAACGTTTTGTAACGGGTGCAGGCTCTCGCACCCACCACTGCACTTTGTATCAATCCCTAGGATGGTCCTCTCTGTACCAAAGAAGACAATCACACATGTTGATTTTTATCCTTAAGTCATTGCTAGGTAAGCTGCCCTTATATATCTCCAGACTTCTGTCCTTTTATACTTGCTTTTTTAATACCAGACGAGCAGCAATGGGATGCTTTTAAATGTTCCTTTGATGCAGTCAGAGCTTGGTAAAACTGCATTCTCCCACTATGCTCCCTTTTTATGGAATACGCTGCAAGTAAAACTTTGTCGAGAGGCACTTCCTACTGTAAATGCTTTTAAAGGTATGCTACGATTAGCCCTTCATGAAACATGTAACTGTTTTACCTGATGCTATTGCTGATGTGATTATGCTTCTTGCCACTGCACAAATGGCCTTCTGTATTTATATTTGAATTGTATGTTTTTTGTTTAATGCCCTTGTTTTATGTTGAAACTTGTTGTGTGCCGTGTTGGTCAGGACTCCCTGGAAGAAGAGATCTTGTATCTCAATGGGACATTCCTGGATAAATAAAGGATTTAAAAAAAAAAATTTAAAAAAAAAAAAAAAATCTTCTTAACATCTTAAAACTGGCTCTTTTTCAGCAGTTTATTAAATGTATTTTATTTTCTCTGAGCCTAACAGATGAATATTGAGGCCGGGTGTGTTAGTTGGGATGATATAGTGTTGAAATCCGATGTTGGTATTTTAATTTTATTATAGGCAAGATTCAAAATCCAATTAAAATAGATACACTGAGCTGACTTTGAGAGATGGAGTCATGTCTCTACGACTGTCAGAATCACTCACATGCACACACTCAAACATGCACAGAACAATGGCTCAGTAATAAAGGTGCCAACTTCCTGTTTGTTCAAAAATGCTCAATCTTTGACTTTATATAATGGTGATTAACTGCATGCAAACTTGCAAAACAAACAAAGCTCTAACCTTTCTGCTAATCTTTCCATCTGCCATGTCTACTTAAATATTACACAACATGGTAGCTTTCTGTCTGAGTTAGAGAGATCTTTGCCACCATCAAAGATGTTCTCATATTACATTACATTACATTTGTTAGACG